AGCTATTGGGGTACAGAGCCTCTAGACCAGAATGGCTTTTGTCCATGACTGCTCTGGTTGTTCAAATGCAACTGGAGTGAAGTCAAGCTGTTGCCAATTTATCTTTGTCAATGTTTTAGCTAAGTGTTAAAATAAACCAGGAAAAAGATGCTCCATGGAAAAAGGTCCCACTGAGACTCCAAAAACAAAGGGAGGCTCGAATAACAATAATTGAAAAATTGACAAAACAGCAACTGTATTAACTGAACTATTCCTGAAATATAGGAAAAAATTTACACTCACACAGTCACTCAAAGTTCAGGAAACTGCCATTTTTTTACAGTTGATATTGTTTGTTGCCTATGGCAATGTGTACAAATTCCTACAGAACCCCACCATCCCTCTGTTGCATTGTTGCACTGATAATCTCACCACAAACATCTTAAAAATTTAATTAATACAGTCCTATATATTTCAAGAAAACTGAACACATGGAATCATCTCTCTACCTGCTCTTTAATTTCTTCTCTCTGCGTTTCTAGTTGCTCACCAATGTCACTGCTCCTTTTCAAAACTAATTATTTAAAACTTACAAATTTCAGGTCTTTCTAACTTCGACAAGAAGCACCAGCCAACTGTTTATGGTTTATCTTATGAGCAATTTATTTTAACAATATGGCAGAATGAAACCCATGTGAAAATAAAGTTTATACAGATAGAGCTTGAGAGTAAAATTAAAATAAACTATTTTGAAAAAACACAACCAGTATGCGTGTGTCCAATAATTAGAAGATGATGTTTGCATGAAGGCCCCAAAACTTCCTGTTTAGTCAAGCACTCAATATTATGAAATAATACACAAGCAATTTCCCAGACCCTTCACTTTACATGAAAACATTTGTGGGGTTCTAATCTCAGCAACATTAACACTATTCTGGTGAGGATATAGGAAAAGCAGCGTACAGGAGAGACTTGAAACCTGATGAGTACACACGGGAATAAAATGGCAATAAAATAGGAAATGTTCTGAAGTTACAGCTGTAACCTGGCTTTGCTTGCAAGGAAATGACATCAAAACTATGCCAGAAGCACATTAAGACCTGGAAGTCAAATCCTCAAAGCTTAGGAAAAGCTGGAGTTTGCTCATTTGTACACACACAGAGCTTTTATTTACAAAGCTACTTCGCCCTCACGTCCCCAGCATTCCTATCTCATTAAAAGAACAAGGACAGAGGATGACTGCTGCAATAAAATAGATTTTTTGCCTAAGACTACATAAAAATATAAAAAGAAACCAATGAAAAAAACAACTCTATTGTTCTTAGCCTTTTATGCAGACAGAAGCTTTTAGGACAGAAGGCTTTCCCCTGAGGGGCACACTGATTGCCAAGTTCACTTCTATCACTACCAGCAAAGAGGTGATTTGCCCATGATAAATCAGGCAGTAAAGGTGCTCCTCTCACTCCAAACCAGAGTTCATGACAGCTCTAAACATTCTGGTCACTTAATGAGGACATTGTTGAATTCACCTGTACTTCAAAAATCAAAGCAGTGCTAATGCCAGCATTTCCTAAGCTTACAGGGCCTTGTTCTGCAGCCTCAGAATGGTTTTTTACAGAGAGCAGCAGCAGTTGATTTTTAACAAGAGTCTGTCCAAATACTTACTGTAATTGACTGAGGGAACTAGAAAATTATTTACTGACAGCAACTGATTCTTTCTTCATTAAATTTTCCTACAATTTATTGCTAGCTGCTTAACTGCCCACATTTTTCCACATTCTGCACTCCTTTCCAAAGACTGGGTTTTACTTAACAGCTGGAGAATTCCTTAAACTCATCTCCAAACACAAAGAGCTCAGGCACAGTTTGCACAGTTCTCGTGGCTACTGCATTTTAGGGCATTTCTAAGGGAAAAATACCACAGAACTTAATGGACTTAATAGCTATGATATATGGTCAAGAAGAATACAGGCTACCATTCGAATTTCAAATGACAAGGAGAGTTGGCAGTAAAAATGAATTGCACACATAAGATACAGAAAATCCTTCAAGTTACAGCTGAGACCCAAACATGAGAGCACATTTCATTCTCTAGGTCACAATCCAGCAAGGCATTTAAGATGAGAGCAACATCACAAATCTGAGTAGTCCCACATAATTCAGCTGCACGTGGTGTATCACCATAAGCACACTGAAGTGCTTTGCTTTATTTAAACTGCAGCTATCAAAATACAAGTCATGTTACACTTGTGTTTCTTGGGTTTGTAAATTATTATCTTAGAAGACTTTAGAGACCTTTTTATCTACTAAAATATTCTTGAGAACTAACCTGTTAGCAATGAAGAGGCTGATGTACTTTTTCCTTCCTCTGTAAACTGCATTTCTCTACATTTCAATATTGAAACATGGTTAGCTAGTTTTGCTTTTTCCTTTGTAGTACTCTTAGATATATACTGCTATAAAGTTTACACTCTAAATGGTAGAAGTGTACTTCATTGGAACTGTCAGTGAAAGAAGTTTTTATTCTGTTCTTTTAGTCACATATAAACACCTTTTGAGAAGAGCTGTTAAAAAAAAAATCTGAGCAACTGTTTCATGTATTTATAAACACACTCTGTTCTGTAGACTCCAACAGGCAGCTGAAATATCCATTAGTGAATTGTACTGGTATTTGTGTTTAAACACAAAATAAATAAGAAAAAAGATAGCAACTTGACAGAAATCTGTAACTCAGTATGTGGTTTAACACAGAGCAGAGTTTAGCAGACAAATAGAGAAAAGCAGACCTTGCAGCAGGAGTTTAACACCAGTAACACCCAGTGGTTACTGCCTCTATCCAGGAACAAAAATCAGCCTATTCACTCTCATGGTATCACACTTGCTTTCTCCTCCTGCCCTGATTCCCTTGGTCTAAACATTCTTCTCAGTCTTAAGAGTCAAGTGATTTACTCCAGAAATATTAAATCTTAATAAATGCTAAATTGTTCCCTCATAGACAGAGGGCAACATAAAGAAGCTGCAAGTAGAAAACGTTATCTCCACTGTGATGTGCACCACATCATGGCTCAAATATATGAATCCTCCTTTAAAAATATTTTTTAGCTCTGGTGAATGGAATGTACATAAAATGCCATAAAATGTACATTTATGCACATTCCCTGGATCTTCTAAATATCCTAAGAATACTGTTATTTTTTCAGGGATTACATATTGTATACACAGACTTGATACTTTGCATTTGCCATTCATTCAACGAAGAGGATTGTAGTTAAGCATGTGTAAATGTTACAGAAGTTTATTTCTTATCCTAGTATTCTAAACTGAAATGTGGATCATGGGATTAAAACTACAGAAATCATTAAGAGTTCAGCAAGTATTAGCCAAAAAGAGATTAATTTCCAAAAGAACAAATGAGACTACAAGTTGCATCATTTATAAAGAAACAAGTGATACGTCAATTTTTTTTATAAAAAACTAAAAGTCAAGTATGATTTATGAGAAAAGAGAAGCAAAAATTACAAGGGGCCACATGCTATAGTAAGAATAAATGCAGCTTGGCTCAGGTTTAACTATGATAAACTACTACTGGCTTGACTTTAAACGTTATTACTATTCAAGTCTTTAAAAAGTCTCTGGTTTGCAGAGACAAAATGAACACAGTTATTTTACAGTACTTCCCATTCTAAAACTTGTTTATTTATCAGCACAACCTGCATCATTCCATTACTTAATTGCAACGCTGCTCTGCTTAGCCAATTACGTAAGTATTTTGTACATCAGAACAGAACTGAACACGTAAAAATTAAGCCAATAGCAATGCCAACATTTTAGTAAGAAATATGCTATTCTTAAATTATTTATATTTAGGTCATCTTGTAAAAGCAGCTGCTTTACATTCCCTAGCTCCACTAAAAACAAAAAGTGCAATAAGATCTCTTATTGACAGCTGCATTCAAAAACATACCAGTTACATAAGTTTGCAAATTATACTGTGCCAGAGTTAAATATCTAAGCATTTTAACGACAGTTCTCAAAATGCTATCTCAGCAAGAATGACTCAACTCCACTGTATAAGGGGCACTCCAGATAAGAAGCAACCAGCTTGATTTTATAGGGAAAAAAAAACCCAAAAAAACTAAAAACCAACTTTTTAGTATTCTGCTTTATTTCAAATTGCTCTGAGTTCTGCTTGTTTGGACCTGCAAGCTTCACCAGTCATTTGGCATTTCCACCTCGCCTCGCTTTCAACAAAGTATCCCAAGCATACCTATAGACAGTTAAGGAAATACTTGGAAAACAGGTATAGTTTTCTACCGTACCTTCAGGGGAGAGATTTACCTGACAACCACCGAGCAGAGGACTAAACCTGTAAACCAGAGCTAGGCCCTGCCTAAGAGAAAAACACAGCTATGCCAGGAGAGAGTGAGAGGACAGACAGACTCTCTCCACGTTTCTCCGAGGATTTTAACAGAGATCTCTGTGAGGAAAAAATTAATAACTGGCACGATGCACCAGCAAGTCTTTTAGCCCAGACTCTTATATAAAAGGGAGACCTAGAAAGGCCTGAGAGTGAAAACTTTAGGAGCAGCTAATGCTGGTGCACCAATCCAAGCGGCTATCCTTTAACACCTTCCCTTTGAACACTACTGTGATTGGATAGGTAGAGTGCAAAACTTCCCTGGCCCACGTTTTCTCTGATATTACTCATAGAAAAAACTAGGAATAGCAACAGATGCAAAGCTATCAGAGAAGAAATGCGGCTAGAAATTACACAATTCTTGATCATTTGGCAACTCACTCAGGGTCCTGAGTAACAGTAGCCATCCAGCCTTAATTCCACCAATACATCACAAAACCTGCTTCAGCCACCTAATCATGAAACAGCTCAGGAAAAGTGCTACAAGGGCTCATATTTGGCAATTAATTTCCTAGATTCACAAGAGCTAGAACTTCTACTTTATAAACTGATTCTGCTTACTCTGATGCCAAATATCACAATCTAAGGAGAACATATCACCTACCTTCTTTCCAGCTACTGCTCTCGTGATCCTAAAACTGTCTTCTGCTTAAAAAAAAAGTAAAAATAAAAATTTCCTTTGGATGAAATGCCTTAGGGACCTAAAACCTTAAGGTTACCACAGAGGCCAGCCCAGTGCCCAGCAATTTCCCACTTGACAGAAGGTACAGCTCAAAAAAATTTAGTTCATCCCAAGTGCTACTATAAACTTAAACATTAGTTCTGTAGCCACAAAATTTTGCCATCCACATGGCAACACTAAGATATATTTTAACCGTACCAAATAAACACAAAAACATATCGAACAGATGTCTGCAAAAATCAATTCTCCTGAAACTGTCAACCTCCAGCCTGTCTTAACGTTGTATCACTAGACACAACTAGATACTAGATACAATCTAATGTACCAAAAAGACCAGACGTATGCTCGGAACCTCAGACATTTCACACGCAAGCCCAATTACCTAGCACATCACTGCACAACTTTCTCACTGAGGACAGCATTTTCTTCCACGGACTTTTACCACGCACGCCGTGACAGACCACAGATCGTCAGCGCAACCTTTGCTCACGACATTGTTTTCAAAGGCACCGAAATCTCTCACAAACTTTAAACGCCCGAAAGGCGTTGGCGAGCGAAAGCCGCCCGCTGCATCACAATGTCACTATTTGGGGAGCCCTTGATGCTCCGACCCTCGCCAGGGTGGGGTGCTTTATAAATAGATGCGTGTTGGTTTTTTTTGTTTTTTTTTTTTTTTCTCCCCAGTCAGTGCCGTGCCCCGAGCGTTTGGGTGGCGATGGGAGAGAAGGCCGTTTATAGCCTTTATTACATGAACTCTGGGCGAGGAAAGGTGGGGGCAGGGAGAAAGGGAAAGCTGCTGCTCCTACCTGAGCCAGGCCCAGACCCCGCTGCTCACCCTCCTCCCGCCGTGCCCGGGGGGCTGCGGGGACACCCCCACCCTCAGCAGTCGCCTGCAATGCAGGGGCTGCGCAGGGGGCCCCGGGCAGCAGCATCCCAGCGGGATCGCTCCCCCTTTCCCCTTCCCCTTCCCCATCCATCTCCCTCCCTCCGGCCGCCCGACCCGCTCCCAGCGGTGCCGCCGGGGATGGCGCCGAGCTCCCGCGCTCTCCGCCGCCCCCGGTTGTTTACAGGCCCCGGGGCCCCGCAGCGCCCCGGCCCCGCCGCCCCCTCACCCCGCCCCGGCCCCGCACTGCGCAGCGCCACTTACCCCCCCGGCCGCGGCGTCGGCGCCGGCTGTGCGGGCAGGGCCGCGCTCCCGGCGGTGCGCGGGGGAGAAGGGGAAGGAGGGGGGGACAAGGAGGAGGAGGAGGAGGAGGAGGAGAAGGAGGGGGGCACCCGGCTGGCGGCCTCGCCTCAGCTCATTCACAGGGCGGCTCTGTGCCCAGGGGGAGCCCAGCGCTCATCTCGCCCCCGCAGCCGCCGCCGCCGCCGGCCCCCCCTCCCGTCCCCGTCCCCCGCCCGAGCTGCTCCGCGCCCACCCGCGCAGCGCCGCGCGGAGCGCCGGCCGCGGACGGACGGACGGACGGGCGGACACACGGACACACTCGCACTGCGCTGCCGCCGCCGCCCCTCTGCGCAGGCGCGCACGCCACAGGGGAGGGGAGGCGGGAGCGCGCGCGCGCGCCCCCGCGCCCTTTCCCTCCTCTCCGTCACCCTCCCCAGTCAAAAAAAAAAAAAAAAAAAAAAAAATTTAAAACGCCCAAAAAAGCCACAAAGGGAGCTTTTCAGTTTAAATAAAATAAATGAGTTTAAAAAAAAAAAGGCGGAAAAAAAAAAAAAAAAGCAGCACCCCGGCAGGGTACCCGGATGTCGGACGGAGCGGGGCCGTTACGGGTATTACATCACCCTCCGCCCCGGGTCCCGCGCCGCGCCGCGCGGGGCGGTGACGTCATCGGCCCCGCCCCTGGCCCTGAGGGGGAGAGGCTGGCGCGAGGGCTGGAGGCGGGTGTTCCCATCCCGATCCAAATGGCGAGCCCGAGATCGAGCCAAATCTCGATCCAAATTCCGATCCAAATCCCCATCCCGGTCCTGTTCCGATTCCAATCCGGATCCTGGTCCCGGTGCCGTGGCGGCAGCAGCTCAGCCCACCTGAGGACGATGGAGCGCACAGTGGGTCTCGAGGCGCTGGCGGGATCAGCCTCGTCTCCCTGAATCACGGAATCAATTAGGTTGGAAAAGATCTCTGGGACCATCAAGTCCAGCCTATGACCCAACACCACCGTGTCAACCAGACCACGGCACTGAGTGCCATGTCCAGTCATTCCCTAAACACCTCCAGGGACGGTGATTCCATCACCTCCCTGGGCAGCCCGTTCCAATGCCTAATCACCCTTTATATGAAGAAATTCCTCCTGATGTCCAACCTGAACATCCCCTGGCACAATTTGTGACTGCGTCCTCTAATCCTGAGGGACTGGCCTGAATCGGAGCCCTGCAGGATCTCCCTGCTGGAAGCACAACCGCTGGCAAAAATCAGCAGCGGATTACCAGTAATGAACACATAATGGGTTTAATAATCCCACGGGTTTCAGCCCCCTTTGATGAAGGCTGGCCTGTGGACAAAAGACATGGGAGTGTGTTCATGAAGCGACTCCCCCACCAGTCTGCGGGGAGCAAATTGAGAGAAGCTTTTAGACAAACCTCTCTTTTGTCTCAAGGAGGGGAGGAGGATGCTCTAAGGAGGCTGCAATGGGAGAGGGGTGATTCTGGGAGGAATGGCTTATTCCAGCAAGCCAGGGTTAAACCTCGTGGCTGGCAATTTCTGAGGTGGAGTGGGTGCCAGCAGGAGTGCTTCAAGGAGGAGGATTAGGGATGCACGGTAGATCTGAGGATGTGAAGAAGGAATTGGATACAGAGGGAGAGATGCTGAGGTCTGGGAAAGGTGAAGTGGGTGCTTGGCAAGGTTGTATGGATAGTTTCCTCCTTTAGTAATCACAGCAAACAGCCATACGTTAATGGCTTTAAGATGAGACTACTTTTAGATTGGAAATTAGGAAGAAATTCTTTACTGCGAGAGTGGTGAGGCCCTGGCACAGGGTGCCCAGAGAAGCTAGGGCTGCCCCATCTCTGGAAGTGTCCCAGACCAGGTTGGACAGGGCTTGAAGCAACCTGATGTAGTGGAAGGTGTCCCTGACCACGGCAGGAGGTTGGAACTGGATGGTCTTTAAGGTCCTTTCCAAACCAAAGCATTCCCTAAACTGAATGTTTGGAGGGGGCTCCAATTCCAGGTTGTGTTCTCACAGTCGACAACCATTAGTGCAGTTCATCAGTGTCTGAGGGCAGTTTACAGCAAAACCCTGCCAGAGAGAGCTAAAAGAGCTATGAAAAATAGAACAAAACCTCATCAGCGTATGGCTTTCCTGTGATAGATAAACTGACCATGTTTCGGTACAATTGCAGAATCTCCATTTCCTGATGCTGCCTGTGGGTGGAGGGAATGTGTGGACCCAGTCTCCCTGTATTCACCCTAATCGTGATCCTTATCACAACACTGAGCACTACTCAGTCGTGCTCAGTGTTCTGGTAATTATTAAGGGCCTTTAGTTTAGAAATGTCAGGCCTTTGTAGTTAAATGCAGTAAAATTTGTTGGTGGAGACAGACCTTTAGATTTAAATGCAAGCCCTAACCCTTCCCTTCCCAAAATTACACAGAATTGCTTCTGCAGGCATGTGCCATCTTTCTTTACCCTCTCCATTTAAAAAGAAATAAAAATTTTCACCCCCCCTTTTCCTCTTTAATAATGGTCTCCTAGCACTTTGAATTATATACAGTCATGGATTTAATTTAGGTTCCACGTCACCTACATCTGTGTTTTGAGTGGGGTTTTTTTTCGATAAAACTACATGGCCCTGTATCTTTTTGGTGATGCCCTCATTTTAAGCTGCAAGCATATAATGACAGCAGAGAGTTTGCTGCTCTCATTTGCTATTTATACATTTTTCAGGGGAAATTGGACTAAGTCAAATTACTACAATATTTTCTTAAAGCATAACTTTTTAGTTCCCTAGATATGCTTGGCCTGTTGCACTGACAGTGGTAATATTTACAAGAAATTCAAACATCACTTTTAATTAGAATAAAATAGCTGTGTATATCATGTCCCTCTACTAAATGTATTTGTAGATGATGAGACTACATCTCCCAGTGTATAACTCCTTATTTTCTCTTTAGCTGTACATTAAGTTGTGATACAGATGGTTGGGACTTGTAGTCACCACACTCATTAGCACCACAGTAACAAGAACCATTGTGAAACTGAACTCTGTATCATAAATCATTTATGAGTTATTGAGAAGGATCATATTTCACTGTTTGGAACAAGAAAATTCTTTTAGCATTATAGTCATATTTAAAATGATATGCTTCTCCCTAGCCTATTTTTAGAAAATATTATTTTGGACCATCTAAATTCTGTTTCCTGTTACAGCTTTATAAATGTCTTTAGATGGATAGTAATTGCCAAGAGTATTTCTAAATAAAAAAATTTAAAACCTGTGTATCTAAATAAACAGCTTTTTGTCACCAATGCACTCAGTTACTGCAGGCAGGAGGATGACTTTGTCCAGTCTATTCATTAAAACTCAATTTAGAAAATTCCACACTTAGCTCGATGAAGCTGTTCCCAATGACATCATTTCCCATAAAGAGAGAAAATGGGACCGCAGTTGCTACTGGGATCACATGGCAATTTAACTGCACTTTGGAATCAACTTCCATGGCAATGGCCATATTCTTTATGAGCCTGCTGTAATCTCTGCATGCTGTATTGCCCAGCATCTATTTTAACTCTTTCTGGGTTAATACCAGTGCTTAAACTTCTTTTATTTTAAGGTGTATCATGGAGTATCCGAGTTTTGTCTGTGTTTTCCTCAAACAAAAGTCCTCAAAGGGACTTTTAGTACCAATATCACAGAATCACAGGATCACAGAATCACAGAATAGCCGGGTTGGAAAGAACCTCTGGAGACCACCCAGTCCAACGCCTTGCCAAGGCAGGGTCACCTGGAGCAGTGACACAGGAATGTATCCAGGTGGGTCAGGAATGTCTCCAGAGAGGGAGACTCCAAAACCTTCCTGGGCAGCTGTTCCAGTGCTCTGCCACTGTCAATGTAAGAAGCTCTTCCTCGTGTGGTGATGAACCTTGCTGTGTTTTATTCATGGTCTTTTCTCCTCATCCTGTCTCTGGGCACCACCAAAAAGAATCTGGCACCATCCTCATGGCATCCACCTCTGAGATAA